ATCCAAATCCCCTGCATATGACCTCAGGCACAGGGCAATGTGGAAGTTAGTCCACCCACCCCCTGCTGTGAAAAAAACACTATAAAGGAAATCTGGGTGTTCCCTGTGGCTGGGTGCACTTGGGAATCAATGCCGTCCAAGGAGGAGTCAGTTCCTGCCGGCGCCGTGTCTCCCACAGCAAGTCGCTACCCAGCCTGCTTTCTGGCTGTACCTCTGCCATCCCCCTGCAGGTCCTCTGAGCTTCACTGACCTGCTCAGAAAAGGTTCTGGTCACAGTGTTGCTATGGCCAAGGAGGGGATGACGAGGTCAGCCCACTCCCCCTTTCAAGGGGCCCGCAGAGCCACAGGGGGCTGTCCGTGGAGCATGGCCCACTTGTCGACGTCCTCCATTTATTTTCTGAGGCTGATCAGTGGCAAGAAAGAGACCAGTACCTCTCTCAGGGTGGAAGGGAAGGAAGTCTTCTGCAAGTGGAACTGGGGCACACACTGCAGGGTGATGGTGAGGATGACTCCGAGGCAGCCCAGGCGAACCTGCACGGCCTGGAACACCTCTGCGTTGCTGGACTCGGAGCACTCAAGAATGGTCCCGTCGGCCGTCAGCAGGGTCAATGCTACCACCTGGCAGCGAGAGAAGAGCCTCACTCAGAATCCAGGCGGGCATTTCCCGCACCCTTCAGGTGAAGCCCTCACCTCTCTGTTTGTCTTTGCAAGTGAAGTCAGGGATGACCTGGCCTGGGAAGATCACTGTCATCTGGCCACAGGGGACTTTCCCGGGAGGGTCTACGGTCACAGCCTGAAGGGGGTCTCAGTCTTTAGAGAGGGAGAAAGGGGAAATGGGGAAGGCGAGGCTCTGGATGAGTGGCGTCAGCCCTCAGCAGGGAGAGGGGAACCATCCATCACGTGAGGTTCCATGGGACCTGCACGTCTTGTCCTCCCACCACTGCTTTGCTCATTCTGTGGGCTTCACGGTCAAGGTGCAGCAAGCCTCTGCCCCGCCCCGAGGAGGACTAAGATGAGCCCGGGCTCCAGAGAGCTGCCAGGTCCTGGGTGGAGGGCCTGGCGAAGGCAGAGGGAGCATATGCGTGCATCTGGGGTAAGACCAGCCCACTGTCCCCACCCGCAGCCTCTCTCTGCCTGTCACTTCTCCTGGGCGCCACCTCAGGCAAGCTGAGTCCATCCTCTCACCTCAGTAACCAGGGTCTCTCACTTGGACGCACCTGCCTAGCAACCTCTGGGTTTCTACAAAGAGTAGGATGCTCCTTGGAGACAAATGATTAGCTCTGGCATCTTTCACCTTGGGCCCATTTCCGGAGGAATTCTCTCTCATGGCCTATTTGAGTTCTTCTCCATACTCTGCTACCTGCTAATTTGGACCGAAATTGCTTTTGACATGTGTAGTTGGTGGCTGGGCGCTCAGGGTCAGAGAACAGATAAAGCTGAGCTAATTGTGATTACAAGCGGC